ACTATACTCTAAAAATTTTATATTTTAAAACTTAATTTTCTATTTCTTTGATTTCAAAAGTTTTCAAACATTTTCCCACGTTTATTTGCCAAATGTTGGTAACACTCTGAGAATTCTCTTTTATCTCTGGGGTTCTCAGAGTTTTTGAAGTGATTTTATGTGTTCTCTGGATACTGAGATTCTGAACACGTTGTCAATACATTTATTTATATTTTGCTTCCATTTATTACTTTCTATGTTAAGAAGTTTTGCATTTTATTTAATGAAATATGTTCCATTATTGTTAGTAATGATTTGGCATCAATATGAAGTCAATCCTTTAGTGCTATTATGAAAAGGTTTTCCCTCCAGCATCCCCAGTCTCTTTTACTTAAAAGCATTTTTTGATGTCGGTGGTGAGAACTATTGTGTCATGCATGAAGTTAACATGTTATGAAACCCACTCTGTCATGACCACAGATAGCGGTTTACAAGGAGAGACAGTTACAATATGATAATAATCCTAAAAATAGATATGCATGTTATATAAAGGAAGAGGGATTCCTCAGTGGAGTGTAAATACAGGGTCTTTTGAAGATAGGACTTTCCTTGCTGCCTTCCCTCTCCTCAGGCCTCCTGCATTCCCTGCATTTCAGCCTTAGAGAATCACCTCTGTCTGTCCCTGCTTCCCAGAGTGGAGTTCTTTCAAACACTGGAAGATAAGGGCTTGCATAGGGAGCATTCCTAAGATCCCATTTTCCCTGTGTCTCTTCTGTTGTCCTCCAGTTTATCCATTCAGCTTTGACTCATATTCTCTTAGAGAAATCAACAAGAATAAATTGGTGAAATACTTTGAAGGCTAAGTTGCAGGTATTGCTTTATATATTATAGAGGCATTAATCCTTCTCTGACAGTGAAAGATAAGTCGGTATTATCCCCCTTAATGTGAGAGGCAGAGGCACAAAAAGTAAGAAACTTTCCCAGGATCAACAACTAAGAGGTGGAGCCTGGATTTGAACCTAGCTGATCTGGATTTAAAAATCACACTTTTCACTAAGGTCCTATATGCTTTGCAAAACATTGTAAATACTTTACCTCAGTAATGAATTATTGTTTTAAGCTTTGAAACAAATGAATCAACAAACAAAAAAGCAAAAAACTATCTCTCGGCTCTAATGGGTCCTGGCTGTAGGCCTGACACTCTCAGGCCTATGGCCAGCTGAGGAAGACTGCCAAACTTGAGGCTGAGTATGGAGAGAGGAAGAAAGGATGCAACCAGGAAGATGCTTCTGCCTTCCTGATTTATTCTTTCTAAATTTTCTCTCCTAGTTAAGCCGAAGGTGACTGTGTATCCCACAAAGACGCAGTCCCTACAGCACCACAATCTACTGGTCTGTGCAGTGAGTGGCTTCTACCCAGGCCAAATTGAAGTCAGGTGGTTCCGGAATGGCCAGGAGGAGCAGGCTGGCGTCGTGTCCACAGGCCTGATCCAGAATGGAGACTGGACCTTCCAGATGCTGGTGATGCTGGAAACAGTTCCTCAGAGTGGAGAGGTCTACACTTGCCAGGTGGAGCACCCAAGCCTGACGAGCCCTGTCACAGTGGAATGGAGTGAGTGAGAAGCCTCCTGAACTTATAAATCCTTACCCACCAGGAAGGGACTTAGTTTACCCAGAGTGTCAGGTTTCCTCCTCTCCCTGCCCTGTGTTTTCATGTACTGAGTAATAGGGGTAGCCTTGTGATAGTTTCTAACACCTGTACCTCCCAGGGAACAATGTTAAAAGAGAAGCTGTCCCTAGTTTGTACCTTCCTGTGCTGTCTCAAGGCATGGTCAGCCTGATGCCCTATCTCCAGATCCTGCCTCTCTGATCTGGACCTATGTGTCTAGGTTGAATCTCTGGGTTGTTCATTATGTGATCTGTGAAGAAAAGGAACCTGAAGGCCTTGCTGACATCCAGGAGTTCATTCATTAGCTTCATCATTCATTAGCTTCATCATCCTTGACAGGCCTCTAACACAGTTCATACATCAGGTGTTATTCAGGGCTGTGATATTTTAATGAACTAAATGCATGAAGAATTTAATTTTCTGGGAGTGACTAGTTCTAGTTCCTGTAGTTCAGGCTTCTTCCCCAGTCTCAGAACTCTGAATCTCAGTGTCTCAAAGAGGAAAGTTGAGTTTGGAGGGAAAATTGCTAAACCTGGTTTTTTCTCTCAGGGGCACAGTCTGGATCTGCACAGAGCAAGATGCTGAGTGGAGTGGGTGGCTTTGTGCTGGGTTCGCTCTTTCTTGGTCTGGGGATGTTCATCTACTACAAGAATCAGAAGGGTAAGGAGCCTGCTGGAGCTGTGTCTCCATAGCTTTTCTGGGAAAAGAAATAGGACCTTGCTGAGGTCAGTTCTTATGTCAGTGGTCCTGTCTGAACCTTTCTTTCCTCGTGTGACCTCAGATATCCTGGAAATTCAGAAGTCAATGTCTGTGGTTACTATGTCAAAACCTAGAGGGTTGTGGCCTGTATGGGTATGGAAGGCTAACCAGACTAGAGATATGGGTCAAGTACCTTGAACAAATGAAGAAAGAGCCAGTAACCATTGGATTTGTGTGACAGAAGCTTCCTGGTCATCTACTGTCAGTTTGTGCTCCCCTCTCTGTCTTGGCTGGTGTGGGGTGTGGTGTTGAAGAAATCAAAGCTGGCAGATCTGAGGCTGGGAATAAGGTGTTTGGGATCAGATTTGCCTCCAGGTCTTTAAGTATCTATCTCCTCTTCTCTTTCCTAGGACGCTCTGGACTTCAGCCAACAGGTGAGGTCCTTTAATCCTCTCTCAGAGACAGATTTGCTTTCCCTACAGCAGAAGGTAGAGGTGATAAGACCTGAGACAGAAATACTGAGAAAGATTATGGATTCCATTTTCTGATCAGGCAGTGTACACTAAACCTTCTTTCCACTTAATGAAAGGCCTGGGCTCTGAAGGAGCTTTGGCTCAGGGAGAATTAATAATTCACTTTCTTCATACTGCAATGCTCTCATGATAGACTCTGAGAGGGAAAGGGAGCCATTTGCAAAGTTAGGACTGAAACACCACTTTCCTCTGCCTTCTGCAGGACTCCTGAGCTGAAGAGAATGTGACAACACTGAAGGAAGGACCCATGTCCTGCCACCTCAGGTCATGAAAAGGCTCCTGCTTGGCTCTCCTTCTTCCACAGAGACAGGGCTTTCTCAGGACTTGGTCACTCCTGGTTCAGTGACCCCACAGAACATGTCCTCCCTGCTGGCCTCCTGAGCCCCTACCCCTGACCTGGAAGCCCCAGTACAGACACCAGGCTGACCTTGCCTTCATTTTCCCCTGACCCCTTTGTCTTCAAACCTTCATGCCTCCCATGAATCTGAAATCCCTTTGTGCCACGTGACTTTATTACATTTCTTTTCAAATAAACATAGGGTGAAAAATTCTCTGCTTCATAGAATTCCTTGTTTGTTTGATTATGGTACTGGGGATTGAATCCAGGGCTACTCTAGCTCTGAGCTACATACCAAGCCATTGTATTTTTTTGTTTGTTTGTTTGTTTGTTTGAGACCAGGTCTTTGAGGCTGGCCTTGAAGGAAATTGCAATCCTTCTGGCTTAGCCTCCCAAGTGACTGGAAATATAGGTATACACCACAATTCCCAGCTGCTTTATACAGTTTTAAGGAACAAACAATAGAAAAGAGAAAAGTATTATTACCTCACAATATAACTGTATATTTATTTGTATGTTATATGCATGTGGGGTAATACAAAAGTTTAGTTTGGTTAATTTACATATTCCTCAATGTATACATCAATCAAACATCAGGCTATGGACCATAACTATGACTTTAATTTATCAATGTAAAATCAAAATATTAAAAAGGCACTGCCTAAAAATTCAGCATAGACTAAACAATTGAAACAAATGTAACAATGGGAAATAAACTAGAAAAGTAAATCAAACAATTTTTTTTCAAATTTTACTTATACCTAAAACATGGTATTACTGTAATTGCATATCAATGTATGGATGTATTCATAGATTTCACTTATATACTATTATAAAAGAGGCACATGGGTTTCTGAGAAAGTCTTTTAATTGACGGATTTTGGGGTTTCTACTCTTGTGTTCCATCTGAAGAGTCAATTCAAATGTAAGTCAAGTCATAAGGCAAATAATCAGTTCAGAAATTTATTTCAAAGTAATAATCATTTGGACACAATTTTCCACTATCAGAAGCACCTTTTACTTTATTTTCAAGCAAATTTAAAAATTATATGATGTATATTTTATTGTAAGTTCTATTGCATAATATTCATGAAAAAGCAGATTTTCTTATAAGAATTTGCTAAGTTGATAGTGATGCCTGTTCTGTTTGATCCTAGGACTGCAACTTTACTCTTACTTTGTTTCCTCAGATGAAGATATAATTTGCCTCATTCTGTTGTGAAATGTAAAATATAAGGTAGAATTAACATGTATCACATACATATTTCAGTGGCAGTTCTTTGTACTGAGAATAGCAGGAAATTCAGTGTAATTGGTGGTATTTTTCTTAAACTCATGATCAGTCAAAGCAGCTGGATCCAAGGAAGGGAATCTCCAGGGCCGCTCAGTTCAGTTGGCCAGTGGCATCTGCAGTCATCCTGGGACTTCATCCCTCAGTCACAGCATGTCAGCCTTCCTGAGATGACAGGAGGACACCTGCAGCAGCTTTAAGCTTCCTGTTCTCTTGCCATAGCTCCTAAAGACGTGAAACAGAAACTGTTTCCTCCTGAGTGCTCTTGTATGGAGCAGCTGCATTTCTCCCAGGCATCCCAGACCCCTTCCTCACACATGGGAAGACCATGTGATCACAGGGGCAGCCAAACAACCCAGAGTTCAATGTTGTGGAGTGGGCCAGATGCACACGTTCAAAGAAAAGACTGTGGGGTTGGATTATTTTAGGGTAGGGAAATGACAGTTTCTAATACCATTATTTTGCTAGCGTTTTTAGTTAATTTCTTCAGGAAGGCCTGTTGATTCCTGTAAGAATCTTCATGTTTGGTTGTTGTTTATTTAATCTTTATTTTTGGCCCTGGGGATTGAACCCAGGGGCTTTTACCCAGTGAGTTACAGCTCAGCCGTTTTGATAACTTTTTATTTTTCAACATGAACTGACTATTTTGCTGAGTCTGGCCCCTTGATCTGTCTTCCTCAATCTCCCAATAAAAGGGGGATTATAGGTGTGTGCCCCTGTACCCATTCTTGAAAGGATTTGAGTGTTTTTCTTTTTCCTTTTTTTAGACATATTAAATACTAAGTATCATCCACTAATGAAACAAACAAACAAAAAATGCAAAAAAAGATTATTTGTTTTTAGAACTTAAGATACTCGTGTAATTTTAGAAGAAAAAATAAGTTTTCCAAGGAGATATTTGAAAAAGACAATTATAAAAGAGAGGCTTTATAAGATGCTAGAACATATTATACATCTATATTAACAGACACAGTGTTGATTAAATATGCATGTAGATCTGTAGCTATAACCGTAGAGATTTAGTTAAAAATAAAAGGAGTATTTCACATCAGTAGAGTATACTCCAAACTCTTTAACAAAATGAATATCTGGTGAATAAAAATTGAAATAAACATGGAAAGTAGAAAAAATTTTTAAAACATATTATTATTCCTATAATTTTCATAATAACAGTACATGTGGTTGAAGGTAAAATGTCTAAAGTCTTTTTTGATGCCCTGCTGGTTGGGATGGATTATGTTATAACTACCGTGGTAAAACAGATGGCAATTTCATAAAAAGTTAAACACCTGTTTGCCACATGATCCAGTAAGTCGACTCTTTGAATCCATCCAAGAAAAATCAAAATATGTTCTCATAAATATAGGTGGGCCAATGAGAGCAGCATTAGATATAATGTCCCCAAACTAGAAAAAATCCAAATACTTGACAACTAGTAAATGGATGGTCAATGATATAATTCAACAATCAAAATACAGTTCAATAAAAAGGAACAAAATGATTATACTGGGTACAAAACTGACAAACTTCAAAAAATTAGACTAAAGTAAAAGAAACCAGACACCAAAATCTCCATAATATGAAATTCAATTTTGCTCTATGTCTAGAAAATATCAATTTGTAAACACAGGAAGTAGATTAGAGGGTGGGTAGCACATGGGGCAGGAGCAGAAATGAACTGTAAACAGAAATGTTGTGATTGATAGGAACTTCCTAAAGCTAGATTCTGGAGAGAGATGCATAATTTATTAATGTATTAAAATCTTTCAATTTTCCTTACAATGAATGAATTTGGTGCTATGTAAACATGCTTCAATAGGTGTGTTAAAATGATTTGTGGGCTGGGGTTGTGGCTTAGTGGTAGAGCACTTGCCTAACAAGTGTGAGGCACTGGGTTCAATCCTCAGCACCATATAAAAATAAATAAACAAAATAAAGTTATTTTGTCCATCTACAACTAAAAATATATTTTAAAAATCCTTTAATATAAAAAGATGATTTGTATGGGAAGAAGTCTGAGCAAGTCAGAAAATCCAGAGGACAAAAAGAGAATCTGCATAAAATTTGAAATTTTTTGTACTAGTTAAAAGGCAAAATTAAAAGAAATGTGTAGCTTAGGAAAATTGTTGAAAACCACAAGGAGGACATTCGGCTAAGTGTCTGATGATATGACATTGTCAAACAATGAATGAATGAACCAATAAAAACCCAACAGAAAGTTGGGCAAAGGATAAGAAAACTATTAACCAAAGAGAAAATCCCAGTAGTCAATAAATATAATTGCTAAAACTCACCAATAATTTGAAAAATGCAAGTTCAGTCTATGATGTAACTGTTATCCCTGACCCACGTGGGCAGCTGAACTTAAGGACACTCTGTGAATTTCCAGGGACACCAAATAAAACACAGACATACACTTTACTTTTAAACAAGCTTCAGGAAGGCTTCTCAGCTCTCTGCCTCAGGCTCTCTAAATGGAGAGCAAGACAAAGTCACCAGAGGCTTGTGAGAGAGAGTGAGCATGTTCAGAAGTAGGCTTTTAATGGGGGAACCCTTATTCTTAGAAAGTTCTATCCAAAAAAGGTCAGAAGGGGCAGGGTTACAAGGGTCAGGTGAGTGTAATTCAACCCAAGGAGTGTCCCTTACATCTGAAGACATGCCCTCAACTTCCAGACTGGGGCAGTGTCCAGGTCACTACAGATGTAGTGAGAGTCAAAGCTTCTCCACTCCAGGATGGAAGGCGCAAATCATTCAGTGTGGCTCCCCACATGTAACAAAATATTGTTTGCTGGTACACAGGACTAAAACACTCGGGGTCACTCCAGGGGAACTGGGGTAATTGGGCTGCGTGAAATAACCACACAAGAGACAGAAATACTTTTTTTCTTTGGGGTCGCTGTGATGGCTCCTCTGACTTTAAGGGTGGGGGAGGGAGAGAGAGAGGGAGAGAGAGAAAGAGAGAGAGAGAGAGAGAGAGAGAGAGAGAGAGAGAG